AAAAAAAAAAAAAAAAAAAAAGAATAAAACTGCCCTAGCCAGGTGGCTCAGTAGGTTGGAGCATCGTCCTGTACACTGAAAAATTGTGGGTTCAATTCTCGGTCAGGGCACATACCTAGGTTGAGGGTTGGATCCTGTCAGGGCACGTGGGGGGCAACAGATTAATGTTGCTCTCTCACATCGATGTTTCTCTCTCTCCCCCTTCCTCTCTCTCTAAAAGGCAATAAAAATATAGCCTCACATGAAGATTAATAAAATAAAAACATTTTATTTTGTAGACCTATTTAATAATAAATTCAACCAAGAAATCCATATGGACTGTGTTCCTGTGGACACCTAACAAACACAATGCATAGCTATGGATCATATACATTTAAAAAAACACTGTGTGAAATATACCATTAGTTTGAAGCCATGTTACCTGAACATAAACGGTAATTATTATAATACTAAGTTAGCTTTCAGAACAGAAAAGAGATTGGACAGAGAAATTATCTCTCATTGAAATAAATTTAAAACTCAGTATGCTTGAATTGCCTGGTCCTACTACATGGACCAAGATGTTCTACTGTATTACCTGGCAAACCGTTCCTTATCATTAGACATCTGATCGTCGTCACACCTGAAGGAGAAAAAAAGGATTAGTCCAAAAGCATTACACTTGTTATATCCATTTCACTCTGAACTGAAAACTAGAAAGGGTTAAAAATATTCAACAGAAAAAAGCCAGTGGAAAAGCACCATAAATCCAGAGAGATAATAACAGTATCCCATAGAACTTTAAAAACCCATTACAAGTGCTCAAGTTTCTGATGTCTCCTTAACCCTTACTTATCAGGCACTCAAGAAAAAGGGGAAAAAAGATGACATCATGAGGGCACAGCTGACTGCCCTGTCAGCACCACTCTACGGTTAGGGATAGTTGTTTTTGAGGTTTTTTTAAATTACGGCAAAAAACATGTAACATAAAATTTACCATCTTAACCATTTTTAAGTGTACAGCTCAATAGTGCTAACTATATTCACACTGTCGTGCAAAAGATCTCTAGAACTTCTTCATCTTTCAAATCTGAAACTATACCCACTGAACACCATCTTTCCATTTCAAACCTCCACACCACCACCAGCTCCTGGCAACCATCATTTTATTTCCTGTGTTTCTGATTTTGACTACTTTATATATCTAATATAAGTAGAATCATACAATACAGCTGACCCTTGAACAACACAGGTTTGAATTGTGTGGGTCCACATATGTGCCATGAGGTGGACCCCATACAGTTCACACCTGTGTTGTTCAAGGGTCAATTCTATTTTCAATCCATAGCTAGGAATCCACATATACAGAGGGCTGACTTATTCTCAAATGTTTACTGTACCAACAGCTGGCATCCCAAGCTCTGAGTTGTTCAAGGGTCAACTATATTTGTCTTCTTTTGCTTATTCACTTAGTGTAATGTCCTCAAAGTTCATCCGTGTAGTAGTAACAGGATTTCCTTCCGTTTTTGAGCCTGAATAATAGTCCAGTGGATGCATATACCACATTTCCTTTATCTATTAATCTGGCAATGGACATATGGGTTGCTTCCACCTCTTGGCCATTATGAAAAATGGGGCAATGAACATGAGTGTACAAATATCTCTCCAAGATCCTGCTTTCAATTCTTTTGGATATACAACCAGAAGTGGGACTGCTGAATCATATGGTAAATGTTTTCAACTTTTTGAGAAACCTTCACACTGTTTTCCATAGTGGTTGCACCATTTTACAGTGCCACCAATAGTGCACCAGAATTCCAAATACCCTACATCCTTGCCAACATTTGTTATTATTATTTATTATTATTTTTTAAATCCTCACCCGAGGAGTAAGGATATATTTTCTATTGATTTCTAGAGAGAGGGGAGGGGTAAGGAGAGAGATAGGGAGAAACATTAGTGTGAGAGAAACACATCAACTAGTTGCCTCCCACATGTGCCCCAACCAGGGGTGGGGCTTGAACTTGCAACCCAGGTGGGTGCCCTTGACTGGGAATCAAACCCATGACCTTCCAGTGCTCAGACTGATGCTCTAATCACTGAACCATGCCAGGCAGGGCTGTTATTATTTTTTTATGGTGACCATCCTAATGGGTGTGAAGTGATATCTCATTGTAGTTTCAATTTGCATTTCTACAATGATTAGTGGTGTTGAACACCTTTTCATATGCTTTTTAGCCATTTGTATATCTTTTTTGGAGAAATATCCATTCAAATCCTTTGTCCATTTTAAAAAAAATATATATCTAATGATTTCAGAGAGAGGAAAGGAGAGGGAAAGAGAAAGATAGAAACATCAATGATGAGTCATTGATTGGCTGCCTCCTGCACGCCCCCCACTGGGGATTGAGCCCGCAACCAGGGCATGTGCCCTGACTGGGAATTTAACCCTCATCACCTGGATCCTAGGTTGATGCTCAACCGCTGAGCCACGCCCAGCTGGGCCTTTGTCCATTTTTTAATCATTTATTTTTGTTGTTGGTGTTGTTATTGAGTTGTAGGAGTTCTTTATATAGTATTATCTAGGTAGTATCTGCACTGCAGAGTAACAACTACTTAAGAAATAAAGGAGCCCTATTTTTTTAAATAATTATTTTATTATGTGAGTGCCCAGATTTGATTAGTTTATTTTATTTACAAAGTAATATATTTTGTTGCAAAAATTTTAAACAGTGCAAAGTTATATGAGGTGAAAATACACCTCCATTTTACTTCAGACCTTCAGAGCCTTTCCCCTTAGACAACTACAGTTTCTAGTTTATTGAGTATCCTTCCAGAAATATTCAGTGCATATATGTTTAAATGTATATGTGTGCACATACACACACTCATCATCTCAGTTTTTGTTTTTACACAGAGGATGCTCATGTTGTAAATAGCTTGCCATTGTTTAGTTTTATAATGCTGAGTTCTGTCAGTGATTTTTTTGTTTTTTAAGTAATGTTTAAAGTTAAGGTTTATATTGCTAGCTACTGACTAGTTGCTGAACTCTTCAGATAGTCTCGAAAACAACAGCTGTGATTTGGCCACCATAAAGAAATATTTGCAAAATACTGGAGAAAATAATTCTACAGTTCTTGAGAAATTGAGTATCAATAAGAGGTTTTAATGTCTGGGGAAGATAGGCTTTTTCAAACTGTTCTTCTGGGAATTCCTCCAATTGGGAATCCCTAATTATAATGGTAGACACTCTTAGTGGAATTGTGTTGTATATATGAATGGCATAGAGGTAACCACTAGTCTTATATATATCTATCAATTAGCTCTAGCCTTGAATCATTGCCTTTATTTCTATAAAATCTGGTAGTCACAAACTACAGCTGACACTTGAACAACACAGGTTTGAACTGTGTGGGTCCACTTATATGTAAATTTTTTTCAATAAATATAGAGTTGGCCCTCTAAATCCCTGGGTTTCACATCTGCAGATTCAACCAACTATGTTTGAAGTAGTATTTTAGATTCGTGGTTTGGAATTCATGATGCAACGGGCTTAAGGTATGCATTGCTCTATGCCATTTTACGTAAGGAACTTAAGCAGCCATGGATTTTGGTATTTGTGGGCAAGTCCTGGAACAGATTCTCTGTGGATACCAAGGAATGACTTAAGTTTTGGGAGAGTCAAAAGTTATACTCAAATTTTCAACTGTGTGGGGGTCGGTGCCCATAACCCCCATGTTGTTCAAGAGTCAACTATATATGCAAATCTAAAAAAGTGCATTTGTCCTTTCCCCAACCATAAAAAAAGGCTATCACAATTCATCTTACCAAGTGGGTCAGTATGCCTGAGAGATGTATTGCAAAATTTCTTTGACAGTCAATACATTTTTTTAAATAATTGGAATTTTCTACTCTGGCCTTACTTGCATTATATCTATAAATCAATCTCTGGTGCATGCTACTTTTAAAAGTTGTAATTTATTATCTCGTCATCACTTTGTTCATATATCATGTTGTTATATTCTCCAAACATCTATGAAATAATTTTTAAGAATGTCAAGGCTATGAAACTCTAGGTACAATGTCAGAGTTACTAGTATCTAGAATAATGCTTCTCACCCGGCCTGGTGTGGCTCAGCAGTTGAGCATAGACCTAGGATCCAGGAGATCGAGGTTCAATTCCCAGTTAGGACACATGCCCAGGTTTCGGGCTCGATTCCCAGTGGGGGGCATGCAGGAGGCAGACAATCAATGACTCTCTCATCATTGATGTTTCTCTCTTTCTCTCTCTCTACCCCCCTCCCTCTCTCTGAAATCAATAAAGATATGTTTCTTAAAGAAAAATAAATTTATAGAATAGTGCTTCTCAAACTTGAATGCATGTACATACAGGGGTGGGCAAAAGTAGGTTTACAGATGTATATGAGAAACAGAATTTATCCTTGTCTTATTATTAACCTACTTTTGCCCAGCCCTGTATTTTCAACTTTAGAAAGAAAAAAGCAGGTTGCCCGGCCGGTCTGGCTCAGTTGGTTGGGCATCGTCCCATGCACTGAAAGGTTGCCAGTTCAATTCCCAGTCAGGGCACATGACTGGGCTTTGGGTTTGATCTGCGGGGGGGGGGCATACAGGAAGCAGCCGATGAATGTTTCTCTCTCTCTTCCTCTCCCTTCCTCTCTAAAAATCAATTTAAAAATCTTAGAAAAAGAAAAAAGGTAGGTTGCAGTCAAGTTATCCTCCTTTTTTCGACTCTTACTGCTTTCTTTACTTAAAAACAGAGCCAAGGAATTGGTCTCTGCAAGAATAAATATTTCCCATCTCTAAATGAACTCCATCAATATACTGAAAAGTGCATTCTCAGTGCTTCACCAGAGTCAATACTCAAAAATAAAAATTCCAATTCCTGCTCTGTAGGAGAATTCTCATCAATGGGTTTCAGAGAATGACCCACCAATGAGTTACACCTCCCAGTATCTACTTCCTTATGTAGGGCCCCTACATTGACTCAGACTTAGACATATGATTTGCTTTAGCCAATGGAAGATCAGCAAATGTCAATACAGAGCACAGGCTTGATAAGCATTTACTTATCGTAAGGTATAATAAAACCTGCAACCCAAAGGATAAGGATTTACCCTCTGGATTGTAGCCATCACCATGTAAAGAAATTCAGCCTGACCTCCTGGCTTCCTTAAGGATAAAGGAACACAAAGAAAGAGATATACAGCCACATCAGCTGAGTCAAGTTCCCAGCTGACCAGCCAGCTGAACATAGTCCTATAAGCGAGTCTAGGAAAGATCAGCAGAATAATTACCCACCTAGCCAATCCACAGAATTCTGAGAAATAAGAAATCATTGTTTTTAAGCAACACACATAGCAATAGATAACTGACACAAATGGTCTTGTAAATTATCTGCTTTCCTCTCAAAGAGCTCCTTCCTCAGCAGCTATTAAAAGAATGCTTGAAAATTTTACAGGGTACAATATAATAGAAAAACTTAGTTTTAGAATGAAGTATTGTCCTTAGGCCTAAAGACAAAAATAATACAAGTCAGAAATATAAAGATCATAAACTAATTTTTAGTATTAGAAATCTAGAGAAAGTTTTTCAAAATCTTACCTCAAAAATTTACTGTTCCCTTCTCCATCATCATCAAAATCCAACCTGAGGAAAGCCAACAATAAATAGTGTAAGCCTACTGATAATACAGAACATTAAGATATTAAATATTCTCAACCTACAAGCTACCTGAACACCCACCCAAATGGAAGAAGGAAATAGGAAGTAAAGTCAAACAAAGCTACGTTACCTCTTCTCGTTGTATCAAAATGGATAAAGAAATTGGGCAATCAGAAAAGAGTACCTACTGCTACCTTACATTTTCCTAGGGTAGCAGTTAACCTTTGCAAAAGTTTTACATCAGAATACAACCTCTACAAAAGGAGTAGGAACCCACTTAAAAAAAAAGTATATGAATAATTCAGGCCCGTTTTTAATTTCTATAGTCTACTCTAAGCTGTGTTACCAGCTTTCTGAAGCATCTTTCAAAACAGTGATATTACATAAGAGTGATTTAAGACCTCAAAAGGTTGTTAAATACTGCTTTTTTCCTTCATTTTTCTAATAAACATGTAATATATGCTACACTCAAGACACTGTGCTAGATGAGGTGAAAATGAGACTCTTTGAATACACAAATACAAAATATAAAACAAGTGAGAATGGGAAAGTGCTGAGGGAGAAGCATAATCAATATGCTACTGTTGTTCAATGAAAGTACCAAAGGCAGAGGTGACTTTCAGGGAATTAGGAAAGATTATAGGTAACAAGGTAAACCAGTCTCCTGTTAATCTCTGTACTCTATTAAACTTAAACATTACACACATTACTACCTTAACCCAGTGATCTCTTGGCATCTATACTAGTGTGACAAACTGGTATTATGGGCCTCTAGATGGGTATATATGTATGCAGAATCAATCTTGAAAATGTTTGTTCCTCTTTCTCTCTGTGGTCCCGAAATACCTGTATAAATCTACCCAATAACAACATTTCTAAGAATCTATCCTAAAGAAATAACGAGTAGAGGAAAAATTTGTACAAAGATATTCATTGAGCTTTGCTACATATAATAGCAAAATCTTCAAAACAACTTATATGTTTCAAAATAGGAATTAAATATATCCCTTTATGTAACTATTAAAAATTATGTATACATAGAACATGAAACAGTATGAAAAAGAGAGATTATATATGATTAGGTGAAAAGACCAGACTATATAAAACTATATAATTACATAACTATTAAAAAAGACCTACATATAAAGAATAAAGGAATTACACTAAAAAACTGATGAGAGGTGACTTTGGGTAGTAGAATTATTTATTGCTATTTTATTCTTCTTTCTAACTTTTTGTATTTTCCAATCTTTCTTTAAAAGAATGTGTAATTCCTGGCCTGTGTGGCTCAGTGGTTGAGTGTCACCCCATGAACCAGGAGATCACTGTTTGATTCCAGGTCAGGGCACATGCCCCAATTGCCGGCTCGATCCTCAGTAGGGGGCATGCAGGAGGCAGCTGATCAGTGATTCTCTCTCATTGATGTTTCCATCTTTCCCTCTCCCTTCCTCTCTCTGAAATCAATAAAAAATTAAAAAAGAAGAATGTGTATTGCTTCTTTTAATATCGTTTCCTGATTACCAATACACACACCATTCATTTCAAAAATCTGGAAATAATTAAAAACAAAAGAAAAAAATAAGTCTCCCATAAACCCATAACCCAGAAATTTGATAAGTATCCTTTCAGTGTTTTTGCTATGCACGTTATATATATTTCTGATAGTGGTATATTACATATACTGTAACCTCTTTTCTCAAGAACATTTTTCTGTACTGATACATATTTGTCACTTCTAATAGCTATACAGTATTCCATTTTAAAATATACTATAACTTAACCAAGCCCCTAATTTTGATATTTATATTGCTTCTAACTGTTTGCAATTGATTAGATATAGCCATAGCACTATGTTTGAGAGAGTGGACTCTAAAGCTAACCTCCCAAGGTTCACATCACGGATCTTCCACTTGCTTTAGAACCCTGGGTGAGTTATTTATTCACCCTATGTCTCAGTAAAGAAGTAAAAATGTGTAAAGCCCATGGAGATATACCAAATCTTACTCATGTTACCACCTTAATCCAGGAATCACTCTTGCATTACTATTGGCAGGATAAAACTTAAAGACTAGCTACAATGTTAACCACATACTTTTTAAAAAGAAAAGAAAAAAGGAAATTTTAATGTCAAAAAAGATAAAAATACTACCCATGTTGCCAGGCCTTTCTAAAGCAATCTCCTTTCTGAAGTCTTTTCCAGTCTTTACCAACCAATTATAGTATTCCCATACTTCCCATACGGTGAAACACACAGCACTGTATTTGTACCTTTCTTAGCAAACTTAGCATATTCTATCTTGTATTAGTGGAATGATAATCCCTCTCAGAACATAAGCAACTTAAAGGACTGTGTCTTATTTATCTTCATATCCTACTAGCAATCACAAAGCCTTATGCTAATCAGGCATTTCATAATTACATTTGGAACTGAATAGACTCTGCATTCCCAATCAAGCAACATATCAATAACTTAGAAAAGAAATATTCCAGGGTTCAGCATTCTCTAAGTTCATAAAAGTAAAAAGCCTAACAAAAACATCAGCAACAGTTGTAGTACTTTAAGTTGCAGAAATTTTTGGCTTTAAAAACAAACTGCTTATAAGAAACTTAGACATAAACATCAATTTTGTATTTTTTTTTTTAAGTCCAGGGACTAAAAAGAGTTATTTGAGAGTAGTGTGGTAAGCAACCAGTTGAAGCGAGAGGGTTAGGAATAGCCAAAAGGGTTCAGCAACTAGAAAGTCAGGCTGGTTATTAGGAGAGACATTCATGACACAATATACCCCAAACTTACCCTGGTCGCCGCTTAACAGGCCTCTGGACAATGGCTCCTCCACCTTGAATCCCATGCCCAGGGTTTCCAGAGGCAATGGCTGGACCCAATGATGGTACATCTGATGTTATTTCTGTCGGTGAAAAACAAACACGTGTTTTAAAAAAGATGGTCCTTGCTTATAATCACCATCACCATCATAATCATCAAGTTGTCCAGAAGAAAGGCCCAAGCTGTAGATAAAAATCACAGTAGTTTGCTAGAAAACACAAATGCTCATATCCAAATGGCTCTTCTTGAATTCTTACATGGGTAAAAGATTTCCCTATACTTCAGTTCCCCCTACTTCAAAAGAGTTTGGAAGAGGGAGTACTATTATGTATTCTACAGCCTTTTAAAAACTTGTAATAGCTACATAATATTAATCTAAAACATGCACACAAATTGCACTCATTAACTACTTTCACTTATTTTATTTAAAAAAATACAGAAAACCCAAAAATAAATATTACCTAAATTCCAATACTCAAAAAAATTATATAGAGTAAAAATCTAAGTTCCTCCTTATGGCCCCCTTTCCTGTCCCCTTTACCCCTCCCCTCTCCTTCCAATTCAATCTCATTCCCCAGAAAGAACCACTGTTAACAGTTAAGCTAATCTTGTCTCTTATTTTTACCTCAGATTATATATACCTCTCTCTCTAATCAAAAACAGGCACATTTTAAAATAAAAATGGAACCCTGATCTGTAACTTGTTTTCTATACATCATGGATATTCGTGCACACAAACAAAATCACACACATGTATACCTCATTCTTTTTTACTATTTCAATTATATAAATATACTATATGCTATTCTACCTATAACTTTTTTACTTTTTATTTTACTATTATAAATAATGCTCCAAGGACATTTACCTATACTTTAAATTCTCTTTTGCTATTTTAGGATAGATTCCTAGAAATGGAATTCACTGTGTCCAAGTACATAAGCATTTAAAATTTTGATGGATACCGCTAAATTACATTCCAAAAAGGGTGCTACAATTTATGCTCTCACTAACAGGATAAAAGAGTAACTATTTCCCTCACCAGCACTGGATATTATACTTTTTAATTTTACCAAACCTGGTAGATAAAAATAGTACATTATTACATCTGAAACCTGTAACTTTATTAACCGGTGTCACCCCAAAAAGTCAATAAAAAAATACAGTTTTAATTTGCATTATGTTTCCTTGTATATTTATTAGTCATCTGAAATCAATGAGTTGACTTCATTATCTTTAATATTTTTATGCTGAATATGGATTTTTCTAATTATAGGATCTATCAGTATATAAAATATATTGAGTCATTTGTCTACTATGTATTACAAATAACTATATGCATTTTGCATTTCTATGTTGTTAAATTTATCAATGTTTTCCTAAATAATTTCTGGATTTTTGTCTTGCTTAGGAAAGCTCCCTAACCTCCAGCGTATTTCCAAATTTTCTTATGCTTGTTTTTCACATTTAGATTTTTTTTAAATCGATTTTAGAAAGGGGAGGAAAGAGAAACGTTGATGGGAGAGAGACATCAATCAGCCACCTCCCACACAAGCCCCAACCAGGGATTGAACCCACAACCTAGGTATGTACCCTGACAAGAGCTGAACCTGGAACTTTCAGTGAAAGGGATAACACTCTGAGTTATACCAGTCAGGGCCACATTTAGATTTTTAACCCATCTAGAATTTACTACCATATGCCTACCTAGCATAAAATAGGACTCTACTTTCTTCCCAATGGATAGCTAATTATTCTAATATCATTTGCTGAAAAGCCCATCCTTTCCACACTTATCTGAAGTGATTCCTTTATTACACTTTAAGTATCTATAGATAACTGATCTCTTTCTATACTTCTATATTAATATATTTTCCTGCTCCTGTGTCAATACTCAGCACTTTTGATTACCTTAAGGGAATAAACCATGAAGGTATTTGGGGAAAATGCATTCTAGAAAAAGAGCAAATGCCAGGAGGTAAAAGCATGCCTATTAAATTCTAGAAATAGTATGGATAATATCTTGGAGTGGGCAAATGTTATACAATAAACTATTAACAGTGGTTATCTCTGGGATGGAGTGGGCAAATGTTATACAATAAACTATTAACAGTGGTTATCTCTGGGATGGCATTTAGAGACTTCTACATTTGATTTTCTGTATATCCACACATTAAGCATATATTACTTTTATAACCAGAAAATGCATGATCCCAATTTCAAAAAAATGAATGTATCCGTGTGTGTGTGTGTGTGTGTCACACACTGAAAATCTGAGAGAACACAGATCAAACTCAGAAGTTAGATAAATCTGGACTCCAAACCTAGGGTTATACCACGTAGCACTTGTACAACCTTGGACAAATTACTTAATCTCTTTGTAATAACAGTACCCTACCTTTGAGGAAGATTACATTAGATATGGCATGTGAAAAGTGCTTAGATAGTACCTGACATACTTGAAGTACTCCTTAAACAGAGCTTTATAAAAATATATCAAATACCAAAACGCTAACTGATTTTGCCATTATTATTTTATTACAAAAGTAAAATATTAAAATGCAATATGGGTATACAGAAAATCAAATGTAGAAGTTTCTAAAGAGAGTCAAATAATACTGAATTAACAGTCAAAAGTAAAATCCTCCACACACATACCCAAATTCCACTTTCACCCTATGGGTAACTGCTGTTAACATTTTTATATGACTCTTTTCTGTCCTTTCCCTATATAAATATATTATAGGCATTTTGGTTACTTTTACATAAAAAAGGAGAGAGATGCCCGACCAGGTGTGGCTCAGCAGTTGAGCATCAACCTAGGATCTAGGAGATCAAGGTTCGATTCTCAGTCAGGGCACATGCAGGGTTGCGGGATCAGTCCCCAGTCAGGGGCATATAGGAGGCAGCTGGTCAATGAGGACTCTCTCATCATTGATGTTTCTTTCTCTCCCCCCTCTCCCTTCCTCTCTGAAATCAATAAAGACATATTTTTTTAAAAAAAGGAGAGACCATGTTATATTTGTTCTAAATACTTTATTTTTTCCATGTATACCATGGAAGGTATACCATGTCAATAAATACAAAGTTGGCTCACTCTTTTTAATAGCTATACAGTACTTCATAGTACAAATGTAAAAAAAAAGGTGGGCAAAAGTAGGTATACAGTTGTAAGTACGTGAAACACAGTTTATTCTTGTATTACTATTTAAGTATTATATTATTTTCCATATGAACTGCAAACCTACTTTTGCCCACACCTGTATTTATGAAATTCAAACTATCACTATCATTATGTTTCAATGAATATCCTCGTGTATCCTTATACACTGGTGCCAACAGTATTTCCATATTAACAAATTTCTGAATGACTGGCTGGGTCTAAGGGAGCACATTTAAAACTTTGCCCATTACCTTCCAAAAGGTTGTATCAATTAAGAGCCTTACCAGTATCAAATTATCCATACCTCCACCAGCTCTGGGTTTTGGCAATCCTTCAAATGTTTACTAATTTTATAGGTATATTTTTCTATTTCATCCTGTAAATTTTAAATAGCTAATGTAACTTTCCTAAGAAAAAGCAAAATTTTCCCATAAAAGAAATAAAGTTCATACTTTTAGTAATAGGTTTACAATAGGATCTAAGAGTTAGAAGAATTTAGAAAAAGAAAAGATGACTCTGACATGGTTTAAATTAAGGTCTGGCACAATCCCTAGCACAGAGAAGGCCCTCGATAGGAAGGAAAACCCAAAGGAAACAAGGCAGGCAGGCAGCCAGTCAGGAAGTTTCAAAAAGGTAGGTCAAGTGGGGCCTCAAAAAAAAGTAAAGGAGGCATTCCACATAGAAAAAAAAGACATGAGCAAATCCTAAAGGAAGGTATGAAAATAGCTGTGAAAAGTTGTAGGGAAACAGGCCTGCATAGAGGAGAGAATCTATGGGAGAAAAAAAGAGATGTCAAGTGCTACCCAACTGTGAGAAGGCTTTGAATGCCAAGATAAAATCTTAGATCTGATTCAACAACTGAAAGACAAAATATACCATTAAGTCAGAGTGACAAAAAGAAAATGTAATTTAAAAGATTAATCTGACAGATTTAAAGTTTGAAGTAATAGAAGCAGGAAGACAAATTAGACTAATAAAAAATGAGGTGGTAAAGGCCTAAATTAGTATGATAGCAGGATGAAAAGGTAAAGGAACCTCTAAAATTGTAAACTATGCAACTTCTGAATAAGGATGATAGGTTAAATGTATACAACTACTTTTACTGTCTTCTCTCCCCCCAAAAAATATATATAAAAAAGAAAAACAATTTTATACAATATAAAACATGGATAGAAAAATGGGAGAAAGAACAGAACAATAAATTTTTGGAAACTGGGAACAACTGCCTTGGTAGACCCACAGGAACTCACTCGTAAGCCAGCAAGGAAAAAACAAGAAAACCAAACCCAATTTACATGTTGAAATTCTCCAAAGTCTCAGGAACTGGTGACTGGTGGGGGTTGGGGTGGGGTGCAGGATGAATAAAAGCCAAAATTAATAGGATTGGTTCAACATCTGTTTAAGCAGTTGGTGGATTCCCAGATCTTCTCCCTGGTTCCTTCTAGCAGAAAAACTGCCCCTCCTCCACTCTGTCAAACGACTGATTTATTCTCTGGAGAATGTAAACCAGAGGGCTTCTGGTCTGGAGAACACCAGGAAAAGTTGAAAGTGAGGGTCCAAACTGAAACCTGGGAAACTAACTGCAACGTGCAAACAGTTTTCTCCTAAGGTCCTGCCTCTTTCCTGTACTCTGTTTTTTTTTCTTGGTTTACTCTCTCCTACTGGTGAAGCACATCCTCTAGAGTTCCAAAAAAAAAAAAAAAGAGTATAAGGGAGACTGTGGACGTATGTATGAAAATATCTTTCTTCTATTTCACTAAGTGATAGTTTGCCTAGATAGGGAATTCTAAGTTGGAAATTATTTTGTCTCAGAATTTTGAAGGCATTCTGAGGCATTTTGAAGGCATTCATTTTCTTCTACTTTCCTGTGTGACCACTGAGAAACAAGACAAGACGATTCCTGATTCTTTTGGACTGACTTTTTCTTCTCTCTGGAGCTTGTAGTATGCTCTTTGCATCTGATGCTGCAATTTCATGATAATGTGCCTTGATACGGCTGTGTTTTCATTCACCGGTCTGGTCCCTTCAATTTGAAAACTGGAGTCTTTTACATCAGAGACATTTTATTTAAACAAAAAGTTTGCTTAAAATATATAAAAATGGTTGTCACTGGGAAGAAACAGAGAGGGGAGTAGAAGACTGCTGTTTTTGTAACAAGTCATATAAAAACTAAGTCAAATATATGCATGGATAATTATGATTAAAATAACTAAAAATATAGATGTTTAAACATTTAAATATATCTATTTTAAATATTTCTTTTATATGGTTTTAAATGTTTTATATGTTTTAAATGTTTTATATGTTTAAAAATGCTTTTATGCAAAAAAAAAAAAGTGATAACCAGATAAATACATAAAAGAATACAAAACTATGATCATCATGAAAAATACAGAAAAGTTAAGAAGGGAAACAGATATAAAGGACATACTGGTAAGCACATAAAAAAATAGTATGTTAAAGATTATTCAACTAAAGATATCTTTTAAATAGATGAAAATACAAGAAAGCTTAATTCAAATTTTACTAGTTTGGGAATTAAATACCCCCAAGATGTCATGGCGTAAGTAAAATAATTTCTAAAAAGGTTTTGTTTCCTTGAGTGTTGCAATTTAGTTTTTGAAGATCAATTACTGTGGAAATTCCTATTGTTACTACTTTAGAAGGTAGCCATCCATAGCAGAGAATCACAAAAAACTTTCACAAAACGACCATAAGACAACTTATTAGTCTCATCTGTTGAACTGATAGAGGGGTAGAGCTGGAATGCAAAAAACTAAGCTGAGTGACCATTATTTCAAAACAACAAGAAAACTAGAGTTTCAAAAAAGCAGAAGTATTTACTTCTTAATTTCTAAGAAAATGGAGAAGATTCAGGTTGATGCCACAAATCTGATAGCATAAAAAGTATGCAGATTAAGGCTCTTTTTAAAAAATGTTAATTACATTTCAATTGTTAAATTGAAAATATAAACACTTTTTTAAACGTTTCTTTGGCCCTCGCCCACGTGCTCAGTGGTTAGAGTGTCGGCCCCTGGACTGAAGGGTCCAAAGGCACATACCTTGGTTGCAGGCTCCAGCCAGTCGGTGCACACCGATCGATGTGTCTCTCTCACATCAATATTTCTCTCTCTCTCTCCCCCCATTCCACTCTCTCTGAAAAAGCAATGGGAAAAATATCCTCGGTGAGGATTAAAAAAAAAAAGTTTTTTTGCAATAGAATATAACAAAAAAGTATCTTAGTATCTTAATTTTACACTGCATAAATTCTTATTTTCCTATATTTGAAAAAAGGTAAGTAAAGACAATGGGTAAGAATTTTGTTGATGCTTTTAAAACTACAATTTATATAGGCGAAATTATGTGAAAAGGAAAATTTTTCCTAAATATCAACCTTACAAACTCAAACAGAATTCTTTCCTTTGCTGTCTAATTCTCCATCCACATATAAATGGTACCTAATAGTAGCACAAAAAGAGAATTCTACTAAAGAGAATACAAGAATTAAGAAAGGAAAAACCGCCCAGCCGGGCTTGGCTCAGCGATTGAGCATCGACCTAGGATTCAGGCGATCAGGGTTCAATTCCCGGTCAGGGCACATGCCCAGGTTGCGGGCTCTATCCCCAGTTGGGGGCTTGCAGGAGGCAGCCGATCAATGAAGCTCTCATCATTGATGTTTCTTTCCCTCTCCTTTCCTCTCTCTGAAATCAATAAAGATATATTTTTAAAAAAAAAAGGAAAAACCTATACTCTTACAAATTCATTCACATCTTTGGTTTGAATACTGTTGTAAATCAAATACCTACTCTCTTCCCTACCAGCACCGTAGTCAATGCATTACAAATCATGCATGCAATTTTAAAAGTGTTCCTCAAAACTGTTAGTATTCTATTGACAAAGATACAGCCTAAGACTTCCTGGACTACCTACCCACCCACTCCTATTTGCCAATGGTAAGTAGAATTAATAAAAAATAATAGAATATAAAGAATTATCAATTCATGAAGAAAAAAAGCCATCATCATATTAGAAGTATTACTTTAGCATAACTCTTAAGAGAGTAGAGTATAAACTGTTTCTTACTCTTTCCCTTAATCCAGCATCGTGTTAAGACAATGAAGATGCAAAGAAACCGGGTCCCCTGCAACTAAAGGGCCACCAACTGTCCCTAAATCATACTCTAAGTACAATTAAAATGATCAAGCATTGTTATTAATGCTAAGAATTAAATGAAGCTTAAAGAGAACAGTTAAATAATTATTACAAAACAAAAACCTTTTTCAGACATATGTAAAGATAGAACTAACATGAACTGTAGGGAAACAACCAGCAGCAAAAAAAAGTAGGAAAAAAAATCAAAGAAATAGGTATGACGTCGCTAGTCCCTAAAATGGCTCTAAGAAAAGGTTTGACCATGCAACAAATAATTTTGACCTGAAAACCATTTACTTTTTTCCCCCCACTAAGCACAGTACATTTCCACCCTGTGTCCCTCCATTCATGGTCTTCATCTCCCAAAATGCAACAGGCTACTAAAAGTCCACAATGCATCTATGATCTTTCTTCTGATACAAAGTGGCAAAAGAAATGAAGAAAAAATACATTTTATAATTTAATTATAATGTGTTGAATATGGGATCAATAACTTGGAAGAGCTGAAGAATTTTTCAACATCAAAAAAGAAATCTAAAAATTGCAGAAGTGTACTGCCAAAGGACAATAAACAAAATCAACTGTTTCATTAGCAAAGATTTGGCACAAATATACAATATGTCTGCTTACAGATTTAAGCTGGTAATAATCAGCTAATGAAAATGTGGTCAAGTGATTGTCATTCTGGTTACTGTTGGAAAAAAAACACAACAAAATAGAGCAACTCCGCCCACTACTAGAAAAAAAAGCTTCTGACATATGCACTAAACTTGTTTACCCAGGCCACCTCTTAATAACAGAAATGCTTTGCAACTTGACTAGGGTTATATAAGTATTTTGCAATGTCTTATCAGTTTAAAATCTTGTTTATTTACTCCCCAGTTAGGAATTATGTTATTTTACTACAAGGCCATAATAATAGCATCTTTCCGGTTTGATTCCATCACTCGGCACTTCCTGCAATGGAATTTTATCTCCTTTTCCTCTAAAAAAAACTCTTAAGATTTAAAAATATGATACTGACGTGTGACAAATTACTTCTTTAAATAGTTCTGTTCCCAGAAATGTGGTTAGGAAAGATAGTAAATTTCAGTGATTCAACTCTAATAGCAAAACCTGGATATTGCAAAATAACAGACTTTGGAGACACGAAAGAAATCCAATTTAAACTGCAATGTGGGGACAGAACTGAATCCCTTCCATTGCGACATTTTCAAGAAATTCATCCTCACTTCTTTAAACAAAAAAAAAAAGTGTATTAAAGACAGGGATTTCTAAAAAGGGATTTTATTTTGCAAGAGAATGGTCAAGGTCAGCAAGATAAACTAGGACCCCTAAAATGAATTACTTCCTATGGGTAAATAACTGTAATATAGTGGAAAGAGGACTGGGACTAGGAATTTGAAGACCTGATCTGTCTAGACCTGATGCACTACATACACCTCGCTCCATCTCTTAGACATGACTGGCTAGATTTTTTTTTTTAAATGTCCATGCTCTCCCTTTTGAAGAGATGTTCATTGAGAAATGGCATGGAACTGAACTTTTCTTTAAAAATGGGAAATGCCTCCACGAACACCTAACAGTATTTAAAACATGAGTTTCTGGATGCTTGCTGTTGTTAAGATCTGCCCTGAACCTTCAACCATTTCAGAAACCTCCGCCCTCAGCAGTTAAAGACACTAAGAGGCGCCTCTTAATACATAAACCCAAGTTTCAAAGGATAGCCCGTGGCAGAGGGGGAGGGAGAGCGGAGGTACACCCTAGAGAAACTGTGAGAATACATTCAAATATTTTAACACTTAAACTAAAATCTAAACGTTTAAACGTTTAGAAGTAGCCCCTCAAATAGCAACGTGGTTCAGCGTTTATGAGTCCAAACTACTTTTACAGTAAACTGAGCCACTCTCCCCAGCTATTCAGCGTCAAGCACCTCCGGTGGGCAGAGTGGAAAAAGGACCATAAGGAACACCAGAACGTCACCAACTCGAACAGAACTCGGGGCACAGAACCCCCAACTCCCGCCCGCTGCCTACCTCTCCAACTCGGGTCTCCCCAGGTCCCCAGGGTCGGGCCCCTCCCCCAGGTCAATCCCCTCCCCCATAACCCCCTCACGGCCCCAGCGCGTCCCCGCGCCCTCAGCTCCAACTACAGCCCCTCAGCCCTGGGGTCCACCTCAGTTGCCAACCCCTTCAGCCCCTCCTCCTTCAGAGGAGCCCCAGTCCTCCGTCTCCTCACCGGGATTAGCAGTGGTTGCCGCCATAGCCGTAGGTGCCACCACCGTCCCGCCACCCCCCCAGTGGGAGGAGCCGCTGCCACCGAACGGGGCGGGGGGGAGCGGGAGGGGCGAGCCACTCCCAAGACGCGGCGCCCTACGGCCGCCACAGCTACCGTGAAATCCAAGATGGCGGCCACAACAACCCCCCACCGTCCCCAGACCCTACGGCCGAGAGACCCGCCCCCATAGGGGCGGAGTCGTAGCCACCGCCAGCCTCCTCGGGGAAACTGACCAATGGGAACGCCAGATCGACCACAGGCCGGCTGGCCACTGAACCA